ACTGTAATGAGCACATTTTGAGAATGTCAAGTTGATAGTTAAGAGATCTTTCAAAGTTTCTAATCTTTTTAAAGATGTTTTCAATGTTTTATCGATTGAACTAATATCCGATTGAATTTAAGTCAGCTGTTCACAAGCCGGCTTTTAGGGCATTTAAACAAATATGAAATATGAAATATGAAATTATTATAAAACATATTTTAGGACTATTGTCATTTTGAACTTTAGTCATAATAAACATTAATAAAAAAATACTTTTGTTTAATCTATGTTTAGTTCAATGATATGACACCATGCCACACCAGAAATCAAAACCGGTTTTTCAAAAGTTAAAGAGTACATCTTATTCTTAACATGACAAGCTGATTGGTTAATTTTTTTTTGGATATCGAATGCGTTTTAAAATAATGTTGGGTTTAGTAAAACCAGGAGTTTCAGCATTAATCTGGATATCCACCATTCTAAAGTTTTCAACTCTGTTGTCTAATTTAGAAAAACTAAAAATGCGCAAATTTCTTTTGTCCTATTGTATGCAAATAATTTGCAAATTTTTTTTTCAAAACTTGTTCAATCCGATTCCTTATGTCATAGGCTTTTTAAATAGCGAAATTCGACATCAAAATCTAGCTGACAACTTAAAATGGGTCAAAACTAAGATTTAATTTGTTACATGAAAAAGTAGTCATTCAGGCAGTCAGTCCGGTTTTAGACCTAAACGGAGGGCAATGGGTACTTAGGAAAAGTCAGAAAATTTCAACAGCCTAAGACCAATACTTTATTAGTTATGTAAAAAAAACTACAGCCCCCCCCCCCCCCCCAGAAGGAATAGGGTTAAAAACATTGATAGCTTAGAATTTATTAGAAATTATTGATCATACAAAGATAAGGGTACAGTTGTGAATCGGACTTCTCGCTCTATTTATTATGTATATTGTATATATAGTCAAATTAATGAAAATTTAATGAAATCTGTTTTTTATATAACTCTTTCTTTATAAGCACCTTTTGAAAAGACCAAAGAAAGATTTGAATTACTAATTAGCAAAATAAACTTTCTTACTTGTGAAGAATATAAAAAAGAGGAGTTACAAGGTCACATTGACGTACTAGTAAATTCGACCTATTTCTTTTGTAGTTAGTTAGGAGTTACTTGATATGAAAGAATTAATGATTTTATATTTTATTTCACAATATATGAATAAATAGGATTAAATAAAAGTTCAAAGTATGTTTGGCTTAACCATGGACGGCATGGATGGGAGCAGCATGGTGGATGGGTGCGGCATGGAGAAGAGGAGCAGCATGGTGGACGGGGGCGGCATGGTGGAGAGGAGCAGCATGGTGGACGGGAGCGGCATGGTGAAGAGGAGCGGCGTGGTGAACGGGAGCAGCATGATAAGCGGGCTCAGCGATGTAAGGTTTTGCTTCTCCTTCGTATTTCACATCGGCAACAAATCCACTCTCTGAAACCAAATATTTGTGATTTTAACTGAAAATGCTCAAAAAACGTAAAAAATACGCAATGGTAAAAGTTAAAATTCAAACTAAACCATATGCATTTAATCTCCTCTGAAAATGCCTAGGCTAAAGTTGAAACTGCGCAGCGTCATGATTGAAGACAAAATATTAATCAAACTTGAAATTGCAACCCAGGAATTGGTAGAAATCAGTAATAGTTTTATATCTGAAGAGCTGAAGGGCCCATGGGAAAAAATTAGAAATTTTTTTTTGAAAAAAACAGAAAAAAAATGAAATAAAAATAAAAAATTTGAAAAATCGATTTTTTTAACCCATGAGTGTACACAACAAATGTCAGCCCAATCGGTCCAACCGTTTGGCCGGCTTTAGGCAACGTGAATGTCTTGTTTTATTATATAGATTGTGAAATGTTAAACTTACTAATTACAGCATATTGCTAATCAAAATTTGGACAGAAGTTTGCTAGACCGCAGTTCATGCATTGTTAATTAACTGTATATGGTGTATATAGTGTATATAGTGTATATAGTGTTCAGCCGTTTCGACGTTTATTAGATACAAACAGACAGACAAGCAAAGTATATATATATATATATATGCATAGATTTATGATTTTAAAATAAATTTACCTTTTAAATATCCAAATAAAAAATTAATTATCCAATAAATTACCGTGATCGGCATGATAAGTAACGATCTGTACTCTGCCGTCGGGAAGCTCAACTCTGTATTCTCCTAAAAAAGTTAGTCTTAATAGAAACTAGTTTGGGAACCCAACTTTGACTGGAAACTAAGTATTCCCTATAAAAGTTAACCGACTCAACTTAGAACTTTTAAGCCAGGCTAAGAACATTAGATGTTCTCGATTTTCCCAATCATAACTAGAGGCAAATCGGTCAAGAAGTTCATGATTAACCTTAAAAATATTCAATTTAAAAACAGAACTTTAGTTTTTAAAATAAGAAAACCTTCGACACAAAATATATTTATTTATTTGATTTATATCAAGATTTTAAAACACTTTTTAGTAATTTAGTAAATTTAGTAAATTGTTCTTTACGGTTATATTTTTAAGAATAAAAAGGTACTGATTTTATTCAACACTTCAGATATGTACTGTACGGCATTTATTCTGTCTTTTTCTTCCATTCTTGGATCCCTGGAACTGTAATGTCTTGTTATGCCTTTATCAACTAATTAAAGCTGATAATCATCCCAGACCTTTGGATCGATATATTTTAAGAGTTTTAATTCGCCATTAAAGTCTTATTCTTTGAGGGTAATCTTGTGCTTAAACATGTACAGTACAGTGCACACCACTTACCCTTGACGGTACCGTACTCGTCCTGGCTCTCAGTCTTGGCAAAATGTCGGCCATACTCGTCAGCTCCTCCGTATTCGTAAGCGAAGGGTTGGGGTACCTCCTTCTCGTGGTAGGGGGCAGGATGGTGGGGAGCAGGGTGAGCAGGGGCGTAAGGAGCGGGGGCATATGGAGCAGGGGCATAGGGAAGCTGGGCAGCGTAGGTTATGCCCAACATGGCAAGAGTGATAAAGGCCTAACAAAAAAATATAGTTTTATAACTTTAAATTTTCTGATTAGAATTTAAAATATCTCTGTAACTGTTAGAAATAAAAATCTTATTGTTAATTTATAACAGTAATTTTTTTCCACTTACTTTTAATTATAGTTGTCATCCAAGTTTTCAATATTATAAATAATTTGACCAATTAACTATTTTTAACAAATTCATAGAATTATTCTATTTAACTGATTTGTCTAATCATTGTTGGATTTTATCATTTGTAGGAGCAGCATGGTGGAT